GCCTGCAATGTTTGCATGCGCAGACTGCCCTCGCCGTACCAGCAAGACTGCACTTGAGGATTACTAGGTCCGCGGCAGGATCAGCATCTGCTTCTATCAGGTGCGGTGATTTGTGTTTTACAAGTTTACTGCAATGTGTTTGTCCAGTGTGGAGACAACACGCAACACTTTCAGCATTTTTCACCACATTTGGCTGCTCCCACACGCCTATTCTGACATTCGATGATGTCGGTTTTGGGCATTCAGCAGCCCAAAGATGCTTGTGCTGGTACTGTAGATTTTCTGTAGACATGACAGGACAGTGAAGCACAGTCCCTCTCCTGCTGACACCCGGGCAAATGCGCACATTGTTGTGTGCCTGCCCTGTGGTCGGTGTGTTTCTGAGGAAGATGTGCTAAGTCAGATTTTACTGACAACTGTCACACCATGTCATCAAATCTTCAGCCATGGACAGAAGCCCCGCAGCGTTTGTAGTGTAGTTTTGCACGCATTTCCAGATCAAATCACTTGTTTCGTCACAAACAGCTTCGGACCTTTGCTGACCGCATTTACTGTGGCGGATCATTTTCAGTCCTGTGCTCCTTTTGTTTCGCTCGCGTGCGGTCCTGGGGAAGGCCACAGAGACCACATGCTTGGCTCAGAGACCATGTTTCCCAAACCCTGGCTGCAAACCCAGCAGAGCCAAAAAGGGTTGACGTCCCGCAGCGATGCGAACGTCAGCAGTTGTCTTGCCAATTCTGCAAATCAACATTTGCAGAAGCTTGGATGCGGAGAGAGGCAGTCGTTGAGACCAAGAGCTCACATGCATGTCACATGTCACTCGAACAGTTGGTGTTAGCATTGCTTTGGTTCTCATCCTCATCATCATCGTGCGACCTCCCGATCAATGTTTGTTTCCACAAAGCCAACTCCAGTGCTCGTCATACTATAAACAAGGGCTCATCATCACTGAAAATCCGAATCTTGGACGCTCCCTCTTGGCCACTCAGCGTCAGCAAAAGTCGCCTGCTACTCTTGTCAAGGGGTAAATGGTGCGGGGGGGGCTGTCACGCTGTATGTGAGAGTTTGTGCTGCTGGCGTCCCGTTTGCCATCTCGCGGTTTCTCGTTCACGATGCTTCGGTTGGATATGGATGGGGTGCGGCCAAACCCTAGCATGCGGTGTTGATGCGTCCGCGGATGTGATGCTTCGGTTGGAAGAAATATGTTGCTCCTGTCGGGCGGGCGACAGTGCTGTGTTTCGGGAGGTGGTGTAATTTGATTGATTTGGAACTGCCTTCCTGTCACTGGTAGTAAGAATGCTACTAGTAGTAATGCCAGGAGACCCTAATGGCGTCCTTGCTCCTAGTAGTAAGGCCAGGAGCCCCTAGTAGCTTCTTGTTGCTAGTTGTTTTTTGCTTCCGTGGCCGATGTGAGTGATGACGAATTGGAAGCTCCTGCAGAATTTGAAGCTCCTCCACTACGTCAGATGCGCGCGGTGGAGGTGGGGGTACTAACTACTACGACAAGACCCAGCTTACTCTATATATGTACTTTGACTGCTCAAAAAAAGCTCGCTCCCTTTCAAAGACAGGTGACAAAGGTTCCACCGCCCACATTTCGGATAAGTTGCCAAAGTTGAACAGATTTTGTTCTGAGACCATATTCCTGCCAGAACAATCCGGAAAACCATTGCGCCAGCGCAACAATGTTTTGAACAAACCGTGGGACAGTTTGTGGGCCAGGAAGCTTGTGCACATGCCGCCATCAACTAACATAACCAACCTTTTGCCTCCGGAGTTTTATCTACACGCCGTCTCACCAACGTTTGAACTATCTCCGCCGCTCGTTTGGGTCACAGCTCTACGGCGCTGATTGTTTTGAGCCCTGCGAGAACAACACGCGCGTGACCTCAGAGAACAAAGTGGTTAGACAAGTATGGTTACGGATGCTACGGTGTGTTGTGGTCACTGAAAGTCAAAACAAAGTCCAGCTGTCTTTACGAGGTGGGGCACACATAATAATTGCTGTACACTGTTTGATTTTTTTGGGGTAGTTGGAGGCCATGGCTATTAGGTTGGAGGCCATTGCTTTGTTCAATGAGGCTGTGTGCGCATTTTTGGGCACATAACCCACTGCAGTGGAGGGCAGGGACATTGACATTACAGGACAATTGGACAATTTGGCCAGTGTGTCCAACGCCATCCAGGTGTGGCAGCACTGGCTAAAACTGCGCGCCACCAGTTTACAAGTATCACGCATTGATCAGATCACGTGGTCTGCAGCACCATCCCTCCGACAAACAAGAAACACCTTGCATTGAATAGTCAGATGTTGCACCCCTCAGTTTAATTGTACTATTCTCAGTTTGTTGTTGGTCTGATGCGGGTGCTAGACAATTTTGATAGGTCAAAGTCGTGAATCCAGCGCAGGTTGCCGAACATCATGACAAGATTGGCCAAATTGCCGCAGAGTATCCCACCACTTGCACTTGGTGTTGTAGTTGTTCTGGTCGGACATGTTGTGGAGTGCGATGATGAGTGTTGCGGTGCAGCAGCAGGAGGAGGAGGAGGCAAAGGGGGAGGAGAGGATTAAGATGGTGATGCAGAAACTCGATTTATGGTGATTACCTAAAGGACCTACCGTGCATCGTGTTTTTTTGCTAATAGCTGTGCGGCGGTTTCACTCACTCGAACCACAAAATTTTGGCACAAATCTGTTACACTGGGTTCCCCTATGTTCTCCCTCTCAGACTTCCATCCTGCGGCTTCTTGAGATCATTGTGCAGTGTAGTTTGGAGGGGCACAGGAGGCGCGCCCCCTGCAGATAGGCCCTTTTCCGCAATCAATCAAATGTCCTGAGGCATCCCTGTGTAATGGCCTTTGTCGCGCCTGGTGTTTCAGGAGGCCCGGCCATTTTCAGTTACGGGAGTCCGTCGCTTTGAAGTGCTTACTTGCAGGACGCACATTCCAAGCGGCAGCACCACCTGCAGGAGTTTGAACAAATTTCGGGGATTCATCCGATGCGTTCTGCTTTTGGAACCCATATAATATCGGATTTGTGTGTATTGATCCGGAAAGATTTTGGCCTAGTTGGTATAGGATGGCATTGGTGCACATGGAAGTGTGGTGGTGACGGCTGGCAGGTTTTGAAGTTCCATGAAGTTCCCGAGTCGACACAAACATCACAAACCATTAGGAGATTTACAAATGACCAGGACGTCCTGCTGTGCCGCGACTTGAGAATGCCTCTCAATTCTTGGCGAAGGTCAGCCCCAAGCTCCAAACCAAGACTATTTGTCGAGTTTGCTTGCCACTGCCTTTGAGGTTCTACACTGCTTATATAAATACACTAATTCATCTAAATTCTATGCAGGTTTGCACTCCAAGGTGCACTGGTAACATTCTGCAACCAAAGATATTGCCTTTGGGCCTTTGAAAGTCCGGGCAGGAACACCACTTATATATAATTGGTGAATATCAGTTCGTAGATGCTTAGTCGATGCTCCGTACTCGTACCATCGCATGGTTTGAGAGGAAAGTTGAATTCGAAAAATAGCTAGGGCGTTTGCGGCGAAATAGAGGGCAAGAACCTGTGAAGCCTCCCTCAAAGGACGTTGACCAAGACTATATATATATATATAATAGCATGCATCCGGAATACTAAGTTACTAAGTAAGATGTCACTGCCTTGTAGCGCTTGTTGGATGCTTGCACTTCTGAAGATTTGGTTAGAGCCAATCAAGTCAAGTTGTTTCAAGAAGATGAATCCAGAGCTTTGCGAACTAGCTGCCGCTGCAGGGCTCTTCACTGTCCATTGGCCTCTGTGCAGTGGTCCTTGCAAGTCAAGTGCAGAGGCATGACGTGCGAAGACACTTTCTGCTAAAAATAGATGAAGATGAAGATTGTACTTGTGAGTGAACTTGAATCTTGCCGAGAAAGAATGACAGAACCAAATCCCACTAGGCAATCGAGCTGAATGTAGGCAGTGCTGCAGTGCTGCCACACGATAATGATTATATGATTAAATGACCATCAAAACAGGACTCTTGAATGGTTGAAGCTGCTGAAGCTAGTGTTCCCCGCCAGGTCAGGGATTTTGCGGCGGTCCCGGGACTCTCGATTGCATTTTAGACATTGCCTTGTGGGGAAAGAATGTGTTTGTCTCCTGGGCGAAAAAATAAGTAAGGCCAAGACATCGCGAAAAAGCACAGCAAGCGGTACAACAGGATCTTGCTGCAGGAAGTCGCAGTGCTTGCACCCAGACAAACCTGCGATGTTTGCATGCGCAGACTGCCCTCGCCGTACCAGCAAGAGTGCTTCTGAAGAGGGCTTGGATTCCCAGCCAGTAGCAGTGGCAGCATTCATTGGTGAGGAAGTTGCCACCAAGGCATGTGGCAGGAAGTCGCAGTGCTTGCACCCAGACAAACCTGCGATGTTTGCATGCGCAGACTGCCCTCGCCGTACCAGCAAGAGTGCTTCTGAAGAGGGCTTGGATTCCCAGCCAGTAGCAGTGGCAGCATTCATTGGTGAGGAAGTTGCCACCAAGGCATGTGGCAGGAAGTCGCAGTGCTTGCACCCAGACAAACCTGCGATGTTTGCATGCGCAGACTGCCCTCGCCGCATGAGCAAGACTGCACTTGAGATTGAGGGCTGCTAGGTCCGTAAAACAGAAGGGACGTGTCTTTTTTGTCAGGTGGGGTGCCCAAAGGTTTGTTAAACAGTTTTTTTGTTGAGTTGTCAATTTGTTCATCAATAGCTTCGCTAGTTTTTGCAGACGGCAAGCGGCACTTTCACCACATCCTGTTGCTCCCACACGCCAGTTCTGACATCCAATGATGTCGGCTGCTTGCCGTGTGATTTGAGCTTCCACTATACAGAGCCTTTAGGGTGTTCACTGTACATGGCTCAAAGACGCTTTGTTGGTGGATTTTCCGATAGACAGGACAGCTAAGCACTCCCTCCCTCTCCTGCTGACCACTGGGCATGCGCACACACTCAGGTGTGCTTGCCTTTTGGTCCGAGCATGTTGGAGCGTTTCCGAGGAAGATGCATTCCCGTCAGGTTTGACGGACAGCTGTCATGCCATGTCATCAGATTTTCAGCCATGGACATCAGCCCCGCAGTTTTTCTATGGTAACGATCTCTGCCTAATTTTCCTGCAGGAATACCCAATACTTCAAACTGCGGGGTGCCATTTTTCGGTCCAAAGCTCCTTTGTTTCGCAACGTGTGGTTCTGGGGAAGGCCTCAGAGACCACATGCTTGGCCTCAGAGACAAGACCGTATTTGACAAAGAAATTGCTTGCAAGCCCAGAAGGACCAACGTTTTGATAATCGCAGCGGGTCTGGGATTTTCAGCAGTTGAGATTTGCAAGAAATGCTTGGCTCATTGATGCTGCGAAGCTCCTCACCCAGCTAAAACTAAATACTTGATAATACTGGGTCATACTGTCACTAGTTATATATCCCGCTTTCAGGCTAATTATATACCAGATTATTGCCTTCTGATGTTCTTGTGGTGTTGGGCAACGGCTTACTTCAACAAGAGTCGTCCAAACTGGAGGCAGCCTTGCCATTCATTAACACAAACTGCCAAACAACTACTGTACCATAAAGTAATCTATCACGGTCATGCTCACGTTTCCTGAACTTGCCATGGAATTCTTAGATGCACCTTCTTGGCGACTCAGAGTCACAGAGTTTCGCCACACTGCCAGAGGTCTCGCACTCAATGCATCGAACAGACGTCGACTCCGTTTTCGTTGCTTTACTTCGTGAGGTGTCATGGGGGGAATCATGGAGGCGTCTCGCGAATCAAAGCTACCCAAGGATTCTCGGCTTGTATATAGACTTTGATTCCATCATCATAGCTGTAGTAGTTTCTTTTTTTTTTTTGCATGGCTTGATCCGTTTGGATCCTCTGTGCTTTTCCAAATCTCGTCCTGCCCAGGATGAGACGTTGGAGCTTCCCAACCCTGCACCAGCGCTACAATTGAAGCACCCCCACTGGAGGCGTTGAAGATGATTGCAGAGTCGACGATTGTGCAACGGAGAAGGTGTCATAGATTGAGCGGCAGGTTGCTGAGACTGGTGCTACATGATGCAGGACCCCCCTCCGCTTGGTGCGGAACCTTGTCGTTATGAGAGACATTGCATAATGCATTAATGCATTCTATTTTTGAATGGCATTGATGCATAATGCAGCCACTGTTGCATGGAGCATGTTCACCATCGTTGCAGCAACAAACTAAGAAGCCAGTGCCGGTGGCCTTCTTCTCTGTAGTGCCAGAGCCGCTGATATCAAAGACGAAGGAGGACAACCTTGCTCAACCCGTGGGAACATGATGGAAAGCTGACTCAGTGTGCTTTGGACGGCTTCTTGTATGTCACCTTCATGGTTCTTGTTTGGCGAATAGGAGGTTGTGCTACCTCACGAACGCAAAAGATGTTGTGATGCTTGCATGGTCATGAACCACAAAGTATTAATTAGGCTGGAGACCATCGCTATTAGGTTGGAGGCCATTTAGGATCATGCACCACAAAGTTTCAAGTTTCCATGGCGTTTTTTCCCTGAGGATGTGGTTGTGAGACTTGCTACACATTACGACCGGACGAACTGGCAAGAGCTCTTCAGCGAGTACCGCAAGACCCAGTTTTGTGACCGCACAAAGAGGGATCGAAAAGGAAACAAAAAACTAGTAGCTAGAAGGAGCTTTCAATATTTTTTGAACATAGAGTCATAGACATAGAGTTGTTGCGGGATGGCTGGCGCCAGCCAGACAGAGAGAGAGAGAGAGATAGAGCATGATGGGACATCACTTCTATGTTGGAGGCCATCACTTGTAGGTCCATCACTATTGGGTCATTCTGCTTCCCTTTGGCCAAACTCAGGATTCCGGGAGGCTCACCTCCTTTTGTAGAAGCTGATGTAGCAGCTGAGGCCGTTGCTCGGCTTCAACAAAGACACCGAAAACTAGCTGTCCAATGACCATGGATGCACACAAGTGGTTGTTGATTCTTGAGCCAGTTGCACTGAACCTGGTGATCTTTTCTTAGCCACCCAGGTTTGGCATCTCTTTGCACATGGAGGGGAGTGCAAGACGCACCGATGGAGCCGGGTGGCCTTTTGCACAAAAGACAAAGATATATTTTGATCCTTTTGGTGCCTGCTCGCTAGTGTTGGGCGATCCAGCTTAGCAAGCGAGTGAGTGAGAGTGAGTGAAAGGGAGAGAGTGAGAATTTGGCAGTGAGCACACACAAATGCATTTCTTAAGATATGGTAGGTTATTTGAATAATACGCATATGCAGAGCCAAAAGCAAATCTCGGTGGCTCGAGCAGCACGCCGTCGTGCAGGAGAGCACAGCTCCTGGTTGCCTACAGTGGTAGCACCCTTTTGGGGGCAGCCCACCTGGTTCTGCAGCCACGGGATGCTGGAGATACGGAGTCGTGGCGTGGGTTTCTCAATGACATCTTCGTTTCGCCTGCTGCGACTGGCAAAGGCATTGGCCGAGCAGCTCCGCATCAATAGATGCTTTTGCGCCTTCCTTTGATTATATACGGGTCTTGGAAAAGCATACCAACAACAGTGCCCTTTTGCACGCCAGCAGCAACCAGCACACCAATATAATACCACTATATATAAGATAAGATACGATTAATACTTATTATTTTTAGCACATGTGTATATATATATATATGAGCAACCACTTTTATAGGCTTTACTAAAGTCGTCTACGGCAGGCTCTATTTGTTTGTCTATCATCAGTGTTCGCTTGTGAACGAGATAGGGCCCCCCACATATACGAGATACTTTTGCCTGATGTCACTAAAGTAGTCTGAACGAGATAGTGTGACCTGCTACTAAAGTAGTCTGAACGAGATACCGTGACATGACCTCCTGCTTAAGTAGTCTAAACGAGATAGGGCCCCCACATAAGAGATAGTGTATTTGAGCTAAGTACCAAATAAATGCCGTCGCACATATATATATTGTGATATTCATGAAATATCGCAAGCCAGAAGATGTTATACCTAGACGGCCCAGACCCAACTGACTTGGGTGGAAGATGAAGCCCAGTCCATCTACTACTGTATATTCATAGCACATGCATGATGCCATTGTTGGCAACTGGCTTGGATGTTTGCAGACGACTGTCATTGACCATACTCCAGTATACTATCAGTGTACTCCAACTTGCTCCTCAACACAATGCCGTTGCCACATTTACAGTATGTGGAGTGCATGGCCTTTGGCAGCAGGTGATAATGTCACGAGTGCTGGCCGAATGCCAAAAAGCATCACTTCCTGAACTCTGCTGGTTTTGCCTTTCCGAAAATGAAGCTGCTCCTTGGCCAAATTGTCGTGCAAGCACTAAAGCGGACACAATTTACGTATTTATATATTATATATATTGTTTCCGTCCCGAAGGTGCAGCCGAAAGAGACCCGACGTTGTAATATACACTACATACAGTGCGCCCAACTGCTTTAGATTTAGATTTGCAACGAGCCGGTCGCCTGGTGAAAGGTCTATTTGATATCTTGAATTTGCTTTGCGAAGCACAGGGGTGGCTTGAACAATCTGTGCGGGAGCAATCAGTGAAGTATCAATCGAAGACTCCTCCCCCTTCTGTGATGATATTGCAGTATGATATTGTAACAGAGGAGCTTCGCATGCTGGTGATGCCAAAAGGGCTGCTATTTCGAGCAAAAACCGAGCGCCCATCCCCTGCGCCTTTTCAGATTGCCCACATTCAACACCCCATTCTGACAGCTTCCAGTGTTCAAAACACTTCAAATTTTTGCTCCCTGCAGAAGACCCTGCGGGCTAACCAACGCAAATAGCACGAACATCCCCGTGATTATTTCGACTGTAAAATGGGTGAGCGGGGCCTATCCTCTCATTTTGTCTGGCACAATTTGGGGTAGGTTTCAACATTTGTAATAACGAGTCTCCGTAAAATGGAGGGCGTGCAAAAGAGACCCAAATGTATATATAGCTCAGGGGTTGGGCCATCATTTTACAGTGGGGGCATCGTAGGTATGAGGCCGGCTCATCCACGGTATGTAATATTCACATTGCAAGAACATACACACTAGCGCAAAGTCTGCGGCAAACAGTTTGCTCATCGTAAATGGTTATATATATACATATGGTTCCTCGGGCGTTTTGCCCTACCACAGTTTGTGCGGTTCATGTGTGTTATGTATTTCAGCATGACACACAGGTTGCAAGTTTCATATTTGACAAGCATTGTTTACAAAAAATGAGCAGAAGTGCTATGTTTTAAAAGACAAATGATAATAATTATGTAATCATTGTTCAAAGGGAAAATGCAAGGAATAGTAATATCAAATTTAAATAAAGGAAACTGAAAGGAATTATTCATCCTTTATTCATTGTTTGCTTTTCATTTTCTATTCCTAGAGTATTGTAATTCTTTGCCTGTCTCATGCGCGAACGCAGTGTTTATGCAAAAAAGTCCAAGCCGTGGTAGGGCAAAACACCCGCATAACCATACATCAGTATATATATAATACATGGCTCGCAACAAGTTACGTCAGACCTTAGGAGGATAATGGCAGCTTTTGGTTATTGTTAGCTTATCAAACATTTAAAGGCAACTCAAGAACTAATGTCAATCTGGAAAGAGGCTGGCTTACTATTGTACAGGAGTGTATCATCATTGATGCCTACTATATAACTTTATCTATATATTTACGCAATAAACTGAAGC